CGGCCAGACTGCCGGGGGGAGGGCGGCGAGCCCGGCCGTGGCCCCGCTCTCCCCGGGGGCCGGAGCGCCGTGCCGCCCCCCTCCAGGTGCCGCCCCAGGCACAAGCTTGGTGGGCTGGTGCCTGGAGCCGGCCCTGGGCACAGACTTCCTCTCCTCTCAGTGATTTACATTCAATTATGTTGTTGTTTAAAAAAAATGAGGAGCTTTTTGATGTACTTTTATTGTCACTTTTTTGGATGGATATCAGCATGTTAATATTCACCAAAGTTCTTCATTTGTTTCCAATAGTAATTTGTTTTATCCCTGACATTATATTAGCAAAGACAAAGGAAGTATATAACTCGTATGAGAAAAGGAAACACAGGCAATACAACAGGTATTTTGCAGCAGTTGAGAAAAAATAGCAGGTTAACTCTGCCTGATTTCACGGGCTTTTTCTTGGTAATGTAGCTACAGAGCTTCTCAAAACATGGAGATGGAAACACATAGGTATTGGCTTGTTAATAGAGAAACATGCAGGTTTCACCTTGGAAGCATACATATTATTTTTTTTCAAGTTCAGGTACCTCCTCTCAAGCAAAGTAAAAGACATTCTCTTTATTTAAGTTTTCCCTAAGAACACGACACAATGCCTAAAGGAAGGAATCTGCTGTTTAAACAGACTCTCTCTCTTCACACTGATTCATGCAAATCCTGAATTCAAATCCTTCATCTGCCAAAAAGCTCTTCTGATCTGGCAGTAGAATGCTGTTAAGCAACTTTAACATTTTATATTTAGAGCTAAGATGCCACCAATGCTGAATTAGTAGAATATAACAATTTACCCTCTAGCAGCAGGTTTATAGTTAGGAAAATTTGGCATTGCATAATGAACATAAAAGAATGGAAAACAATTAAGCACCCAATTACAGAGCTGGAGCAGGATACTAACTCCACTGGGCACTGATCATGTAAAAGAAAGCAACTGAAAAACAGGACATGAAAGCCCAAATACTATTGGTCTTTATAGGTCTGAGCCCTAGATGCAGAAATCCCTCATGGAGACTGGCTTTGTGCATGTGTGTATGCTAACTATTCCTTTGTTGTTTCAATGCAACAGACTCATATTTACATTTCTAAGTTATGCTAACATGTTTTACCAAATGAGCATTTGAAAAACCTGAATATTGGAAGCTAAATTAGGTTCCTTTGGTTACATGATGTGGATATGCTTTTTGATACAAAAATACTGGATGGAAGTTGTAATTCACAAGAAAGTTTTTTAAATATCACAGACTATAATGCAGTATTGAATTTATCAGCTCTCCAAAAATCCCACACCACCGGTTGAAAAGATCAGCAGAGAATTCCCCTTGTGGAGGGGAACTCCCCACTGAAGTAATGCTGGTCAAAATGCCAGAGCTGAGTCCTGTACCAGCCACCCCGTCCATTTGTGCCATGGTGGGGGGTGCTAAGGCAGGGAGATAGCAGGCTGGGACAGGCCAGGAGTAGGGGGAGGTAGAACATGGAGCTCCAATACTTCAAATCTCCACTGGTTTAAGGTCTCTTAGGATCCTTACACTAGTGGTAAAAGTTAGAGCAGCCTCTTGGGTGCTCTAAATAATGTCAAGGTCAGGCTGATGCTAAATCAGGGAGCAGTATGCCTCCCAGGCAGTGAACATAGCTTGGCTGCTGTAGAGAATTGCACACCTAGGATCTAATCATTTCCAGAGCTTCAATACACGTGATAGATCCACAATTTTCCTAGTAGGTAGTGCCTTATCATTGAACAAAACACATTCTTTCAAACATATTAAAAAAAGGGCTCTGATTACTGGGCAGCTCATGGTGTGAAGAACATAATTAACCTTGAAAACTCCTTTCCCACTAATCTTTTGAAAAATCTAATATAAATATGATGGTTGCTAGCACAGGCATTAATATGAAATTTAAGGCTAAATCTGCAACCCCCGATTTCCATTTGCCGGTGCCAATAAAATCTTTGCATGACATGACACCATCATGTATTCTCTGTATGCCACATATTTTACAAAATAAAAGTATTTTAGAAATGGTTAAGAGAGTTTTAAATATTGTTATTAGTAATGTTTTTCATATCGTATCACCTATAAAGATAGATGCTTTAGTGTCATCTAACCCAACAGGAATCAGAGGCAGAGGAAAATTATAACAAATACTTCTTAATATTGTAACATTCAGAAACACCTTACAATTATTTTAAATAGCTGATCCATACAAAATAATGTCAAGATATTAAAGTTGAATATATTATGATCTTCTTGAGCTATTAAAAAAGCTTCATCCCTCTCTAAAGGGGCATTCCTGGTTTTTAATGGTATAAAGTTCCTATTTCTAGCTCTCGTAAAAAAAGGATTAGATAATAAATCTGTCACTGTTGCAGGACTGAATGTCTTGGGTCCCAAGCCAAGCTAATTTTGGGAGGGAAATTTTATTTTTTGGGGAAAACAGGAAACATTTATCTTGCCAGCTGTTTGTTTGGTTTCTTTTAATGGCAGTAGTGAAGCCTATCTGAGGTTCAGTTATGCATAGTTCCACTGGAGAAATATTAGTAGGCAGAATGCAGGTAAGGTGGTAAAAATGCATGTTAAGCATATTGTATTAAGTAGCTCTGCATTGTATCATATTAATAGCAATACAAATTATTTTATATCTATATAGATACAGACACACTTAGCCCATATCCATTTCTGGAAAGGAAGTGAAGAATTCTTTATCTACTAAAACTCCCAGGGAATTTAGCAATGCAAAATATAACTCTCTCACCTGGAATTTGACCAATATTCAGGGATTACCACAGGATATTTAAAAATTAGTCAGTTTCTTGGTTTTCTTCATCTTATCTACGTACAGCAGCAGCACCTTGTCCCATCACCACACCTGACACATTAGTACAATATTTTGCTTATGTCTGCAGTGTCAGCCACAATGGCAGCTATTGATTTGGAAGAAGAGCATCACCTACTGAATTACCAGCAGCATCCAGTACCTGACCAGATTGGTATGGCTGCAGGTATTATGTGTCTGATACCATACTTTGAAAATTCCAGTTATAACAATGATGTGTTTGAAAATATACATAAAATACCATGAAAAGAGATACAATTAGAATTATAGGCAACAGCAATTCATTAAAAAGTAATTATGAAAACCTCCAGCAGTGTACTATTTTGGTGCATACAGATGTAATTTTATCTGTGTCTGTGGGCTGTTTAAAAACTAATGTAAGTATTTTACAACTGAGATTAAAAAGTGATTTAAAGAATGGTTTTTGAAATAACAGTATTACATTAACTTTTCAAAGCCGTTTTTGTCACTAACTATTGCATTGAGAAAACCCAATTATAATGACACAAGTTCTGCTCTGCTTAAGATTGTATCAGCTTTTCAATTACAATCTCTTATTTTCATGGCTATGTAACTCAGAAGTAAAAATGTGTTCTGGATTGAATTTTCGGTCAGGGTTTCTACACTAAAAGCTACATTTTTACAAAATGGCAACCCAAAATCTGTTTGTTATTACAAATTACATACTACGACAGTATAATACAATTTGAAATGATTATGATGCACACTCCCTCTACTCCCTCCCACCTTCCCATGCCTGGTCCTTTGAGGTTCTGAGTGCCCCTAGCTTTTATCAGTCTCAGTGGGAGTTAAATAGTGTTGTCTGAACCTCATAGGATCAATCTCTTAACTTAAAAATATCTGATTTTAAACAGGATTTTGCAGATCATTAGTCTATGTACATTGTACATACCAGACCAGTTCACTCTGATAAAATACACAAGAATGAAAAAGTTTTGAAATATGAATTTACATGATAAACTCTCAATGGCTTTTTCTGGTCAAGAATGCCCGTTAAAAATATATCCTGGTTACAACGTGCAAAATTCTGCAGTTGAGGAAAACTCTTGTAAAAGCTAATGGGAATTTTGCTATAGTAAGGGTTAAATGATTTGGTCCATTGTCAGATAATCTATATTTTAAAAACCAGTGCGTAGATATATACATGATAGAAATCTTGGATTTATTGTTTCATCACACATGATACTGGTGAGAGTTTTTATTTTTTATACAATGCGAACATCTGCTCATACTGGCCTACTGGCCTCAGTTCCACCATCCCTATGAACTGAGGTAGTGAAAGGGACTTGGGTCCATGCACAATGCCACATACAATGGCCTAAATACTAGATTCAAGCTCGAGCTGCATTGTGAAGGTCCCCCAAGTCTTTCAATGGGAGCTGCATGTGTTCAACACCATTGCAAAGTATATCACAGCTTTAGGCACCCAAGTTAGAACATTTTTTCCCTTGTCTCTGTCTGTTTCAGTTTTCCCACATGTAAAATTGAGTGGTGTGTGTGTGTGTGTGTGTGTGTGTGTATGTGTGTGTGTGAGAGAGAGAGAGAGAGAG